TTCTTAATGTATTTCAGTTTATTTTGGCGAGCCCGCAGCGACCCGAGGCACTGCATTTGGGAAGAGAATTAAATTCGATCGTATCGTTTTCGACGCATAAAACCACGCCACGGTTTTCGTCGACGGAACATCGAATTTAATGGAATTAAATTCGTCTGAATTAAATTCGAATGTAGCGCGACGTATAAACTAGGCCTAATTAAAAAATAATTACATATCCAGCCATCTTGCACGCTTGGTTAATAACGCATATCAGAAGCACATCCATCAACCATATCAGCCCATATGGGCTCCTGCACATATATATGATCCTCCTTCATTGGCAGCTAATTTCCTTCTCTTTTTACTCTGTTACGACGACTTCAAAAATAATAATAATAATAATAATAATAATAATAATAATAATAATAACAATAATATGGTATTTTTTGCACGAATATAAACAAAAAGATCTTCAAGATCGTTCAAACTTTACCTCAATCAAAGCCTAGTATTTTTCTTCTTCTCTGAGACGGCTTTCACAATTTCGTTCGGATTAATCACGCATAAATAACGCTTGACGCCTGAGAGAGTACGTGATTTGTGACGGAGAGTGGATTAGATATGTCGTGACAAATTCCGAGAAAGAAATTAGATGCCATATAGGCCAACTAGCACACAGAAAAGTAAAAGGTTCTTTGAATCTTGTGTATACCAGTGAAGAAGTCTTGCTATCATCTAGAAAACCTGTGATGTTAAAATGTCTTTCCCGCTTCCCAGGGTGACTGTTCAAGAAACAGAATTCACATCGGAGAAGTTCAATGCTTGTGGTAATATTACCGATAGCGACAAGAACTCGGTAGAAAAGGCTTCTCAAGTCATCTCCGCATCTTTTGCCGGGGTTTTCTATTTGGTCATGTTCTTCCAACGCATTCTCGGCATTTGCATCAAGGCCTTAGTCAGAAATTCTTCTTCACAGGGAACACTTTTCGTATTTTTTGTGGGGGCATTATTTGCTTGTATAAATGTAATCACAAATAGAAAGGACCTATATGTAAAATTGTGCTTCCGGCTTTTCACGGTACCTCTCATTGGAATAATTTACATGATCTTTGGCGCCGCTCTCTTCTTTATGAGACCTCTTGCAGGGGGAACTCTAACGACTTTGGGAAGACAACAGCCATCGATGGGCTTGGTAGTTTCCATCATAACACTTCCTCTGGTCGGCATTGAGATCGTGCTTCTCATCGCGACTTTTGCCTCCAAATCAACGGACGAGACAAATGAACTCTTAACTACCAGTGAATGGCGCTTAGTCAAGATTGACAAGTCTTTATTCCTTGCTCAAAAGGTTTGCCAGGCTCTTTGGTACCTATATCTGCGCAAAACAACAATACGTCAAGACTTCGAAGAGGATGCCCGATTTTACTTTAGATTATTGTCTTTTTTCAACCTCATCGAGTGGATAGACTCACAAGTAGACGTAGAAAGCGACGTTCACTTGAGTGGAATCGGCAAGGAATTCGATGGCTGGTTTAATTTTTTTACCGATTTGTACCAAGCATTGATCATAGATTATCGCTTATTGTGTTCATTACTATTCCTTGAACATTCTATTGAAGTTCAAAATGGGGACGAACCGGAAGAGGAGAATAATAATGGAGGAAATAATCAAGATGTTGGACTGAGAAAATGTTGTGGATATGTTATTGGCTGTTTATGCTTGATTGCTCCCATATTCTGTGCATTTTATGATGCAAATGCCTTTCATCTGGGGGGAGGTGTTAATGCTCTTGCTGTTGTCGTCAACTTGGTAGTCGTTGTTTGTGTAGTGCGTCTCCTCTGTAATAACAACTTGGATGCCGATCGTATTCAACACAGAGAATCTCAAGGAGTTAAAATCATGGTAAGTCTTTGAAATGCAAGCTTTATCTCAAGTGATTATCATAGCTTCTCAAAAGAGAATATATGGCTTGAATGAGAAATTCTCCTTCCGTTGCTAATAATAGTTAGATTAAGCACCGCGAAAACGGCGAACGCTGAACGTCGGCTAGCCGTTTGTCGTTTACCGTTCCGTCCGCGATGTTCGTCTGTTTAAGCTTCCCGACGACACGGCAGAACAAATGTTCTCGGTCGCCATTCACTGCGACTAGAAATAATGGATACAAAGAAGTAATGTATTTTCCGCTTGAATTTGAACTCTAATAGCTTTACAAGCAGTTCATATAGAAGTAAGATGATAAGCGAAGCTTAGCTATAAAAGCAAGTGATCAAAATGTAGAAATAGTCGGTAAATATGGGTTGCAAATACTCACGTTTTCGCGTTCCCTACAAACGGGAAAAATGTCCTCCTCGAGTAGAAACGGCTGCCGGTAAATGTCAGTTCGCGTGACCCTCTCTGCCGTTCGCGGGGAAAAAATACGTGGTGCTTAATCTCTCCAATAAAGCCAGCACAAGTAGCGCAAGCGCCAGCCAAAACGCAAACTCAGATGGAAAAGAGGATTCATTCCGCCGAAGAAATTCACGCGATATTTTGTCTATTTCTTTTTAGAGGTGATGGGGTTGTGACTGATATATCAACCAATCTGAAACTATGGTCAAAGGATTTTTAATCTTAAAACTTAAAAGTTTGATGCGACCGCCGCCTACGTGCGAAAATTTTGCCAGTTTGTGTTTGCCAAATATTAGAAAATATCTGAATTCGTTCCTCTGTGACTTGCCGGCCCTTTTCCTCGTTGAAATATCGTGCAAGCTTTGAGGAATTTTTTTCTTTGAAATAAGAGCATTTTGCTGTTTGATTCAGGGACTTTTGACGAAAAGGGCCGCCGCTAAATTTGTAAAGCAAGCAAGCTGCGAAATACCATACCCTGAGTTATTCAACAAAATGATAGAACGGAAGAACGGTGGATAACTTAATATTAAAGATTGGCATAACTTAAGACGCAGGTTGACGGATTATCCTAAAACAAAAGTCTGAAAAAATGGAATTGCAATTAAATCAAAATACCATTTTCAGTTAGGGGGAGTTTCACCTGGAAAAAGTACACTTTTTGTAATAACTATGGCAGAGCCAGTTTTAATTCAAACCATAGCAAATTATGTATCACTGAAAAGTTTAAAAGTCAGAGAGTCTGATCATGCCAATTTTCATGCAGTAGGCATCAGAAGAAATTTGATACCTGGCTCTCAAATGTAGCACCCGCAGTGCAAGACCCATAGATACTTGAGAAAAGATTTCTCCTCCAAAACTTAACAGAAGAATAAACGTTTTGTGTCATTTCATAAAAATATAAATTTATTGAAATGAATGAGGAGTTTTATAAAATTTTTTAAAATACCACACTGGAGTTATTTCAAGTTACATGCTAAACATCAAGGTAAATAATCAGTGGTCTTTTTTTGCCCAGCAACCATTGGGCAAATTTCCTCATTCATAACAATTAACTAAATGAGACCTAACTCTCCTGAAATTTCCAGGTTAATAGCTTAAATCTTTCTTGAAATATCTTTTCTCAAAGGTGAAAAATTTATCATTCTAGGAAAACAGACTTAAAGTGAACAAAAGACTACATATTGCAATTGGTCATAACCAGAGATGTTAATAAGTGGAAAATCATCCAAATTTTGTTTCTAGAGGCCTAAGGAAACAAATCAGAATGATCCAGCCTCATAGGTCACTCCTTCGAGTTCACGAAGGGCTTCCTCTCTTCTTGTGCAAACAATTTTCATTGTCTGGTGGTATTTCTTTCCTTAGCAGGGGCTTGCGTTTCGGCTTTTATTATCCTTTTGCCAAAAGGAATGGCTTGTGTGCATTCCATCAGGAATGGAAAGTTTTTCCACTATGTCCATTCTACATTCTGCTCCTTTTTGGAGGTGGCACAAAGCTAAGGCAGCAACAAAATGGACCACTTTAGCTCCAGGGTGCTTAGCTTATGTTTGGGGAAACACACCCAAACCATTGAGATGAGATTTTCATTTGGGTTTTGAGTGGACTTCAATCTCAGACTTCAATCTCAGGCTTCAATCCTGCCCGCTGAATCTCTCCAATAATGATGTTTGCTGGGGAAGAAACATGAGAAATTTACAATATGAGAAACGAAGTATTTGGAATTCTGCAAAGTGTGATTTTTAAACAAAATTGATGTCCAGGGTGGTTAGGTCAATAATGGAAATATAAATGCATATTTACATAATGAACAAGAAAAGGCATCAAAACCTCAGGATCAACGAATAAGGTTCAATATCCACCAGAATTCTTATAGTCTTATAGCACACGAAAGACCTCTTTAGTCCTGGGATCTTTTACAGAGCTTTATATCAGATCGACCTTCTACATGCAGACTCTTAACGTTTCCACACAATCCACCGCTAAGGTTGACATTCATTCACTTGCATCAACTGATAATGCTTTCGTTTTGTTGAGTGAATTAAGTTTTCAGTATCGTTCTTAATTCCCCTCGATAATGCAGCTCCCGAGAAAATTAAAGAACAGAGCCTGTGCTATTTTTCTGGGAGGAGGGCAAATGCTCACCTGTCTTATATGAACGACTCAAAATACCATAACTGGGAGCAATTCATTCATCTACCGCTCAGACGTTGTCGTCGTCGTGGTCATAATCATATTTATCGTCAATATCGATGTCGACATCGAATTTCATAATTATCATGAATTATTTTTATTTTTTCTCATTCAAAGGTTTGCTGCTTGGGTGCTGTAGGATTCACATACTGGCTCATGGAGGCGTCCATTGCCTGCTTTTGGGCAGAGAAAAATAGATTAGAACGCTCGCACATTTCTTGGACTGCCTCAAAGTTTGTTTTACGCAGCGTAACAACAGCATTTCTTATTGGCTTGTTTATGAAGATAAACGTCCGAGCTTTTCCCTCAAAAAACCCAACCAATAGTGGAAACCATACTCTCGTACCTATTGTAATGCTTGGGGTGATTTCCATGTTTGCTGAGGGCTTGATTGACCTGAAGGTTGGAAAAGTAGACCAATGTCTCAGGTTAGTTGGCCAAATAAAAGAACATTTTTAGTGCGGGAGTTCCTTTTCATACAAGATTGTACCTGGAAACATTTGATTCTCGTTAATGATAAACATTCGTTCAATTTCAATAATATGCAATCAATAAGAAATTAATGTCGGGTGAGATGAGCATGATATCATGAATTATCATTGTG